GAGTTTGAGAAACTGATTGGTAGAGCAAAGAGAAAGAGAGATGTGCGTAGCGCCTAGGCGCGAGCAGTGGCGCGGGGAGGCGCGGTGCGATTTTGTCCATCTCTGTTATGTGATATCTCAAAAATTAAAAGAGATGGAAATCTGATTTTATCATCTCTACATTTATAAAACAATTATCAAAATCGATTGAGTGAAACTGGACTTATCGACATTTTTTCTTTGCGAGATCCAACGATACAATTGACGTGCTCTTCATTCATATATATATATTTCATTAGAATTAAGATATATTTTTTTAGCTTTGGAATGATTTTGTACATGGTAATGTACTTGAAAATCCACAAAAATTGAATCGATTTTATTTATTAATTTTTGCGGTAAATGATCGTTTTTTTGAATTTTTTGATTCAAAATTTTATTTTAGGATTTAAAAAAATATATTTATCATTATTGGTTTGCATTTCCAACATTTCTTATTCCAACATCATTTAATTTATTAAATCCAATTCAATCAATAGGTGAACGATTTTCAACAGATGAAGTAAAGAAAACTTGTTTTTTTTTCTTTGTTTCAATACAAATTTTTCTTTAAGATTACTGCTATTAGTAAAACATTAGATTCTAATCAATTACATGCTTGTTGTCTTCATCGTCAACAAAATTTATCATTTGTAATCATTAGTTTAAAACAAGCTGTTCAACATTTAAATAATCAACCACAATCAGCGGTATAAACTTATAAAAAACAAAATAAAATGAATTTAAAGTTTTTGTTTGATTTAGTCAGAATATATTTTTATTATTAATGATCCAAGTACAGATCCAATATATCCAGGATGGCCTGTACGAAATTTATTAACATTACTTTACTATCATTTGTAAGTAGAAAATACAAAAAAAAAAAAGAAACGATTTATTATGTAAATAAATTATAATTTAGACATTCTATTGAACAACTTAATATTATTTGTTGGAGAGAAAGATTTCGTGATGGTCATCAACATGTTAATCATTCTTTATATCTTCAATTAAAACCAGAATCTATTAGTAATATTGGTGGTAAGTTAAAAGATTCAAACACTTTGTTAGTAGACGAACGATTCTCAAGCATATGTTTGATTAAAATGTTTTCTAATTCGAATCATAGTTCTAATTTCAAGGAAAGTGTTTTTTTTTTAGTGTAAGTCCAAGAGTTGCTTCGAAGATATGAGGCAATTCTTTGTATTTTGCTGCTAACATACGCTTATAATAATTAAGCCATAAGTGATTGTTACTTAGAGAGTATGAAACTCGGCGAGTAGAATGAGGGACTAAAGATATGTGGAACCAAGGTTTCTTCGTTTCAGTAGCTATTTTTTTTCTAACCGTACCGATCTCAAGAAAACTATTCCAAACCAATTGTTGTGAATGAAGTTTGAAACTGAAACAGGATTGCAGTCATTTCGAAGTGTTGTAATTCTAATCATAAAACTAATAATTAGTTCAAGATTTCCGACTAACATACTGGAACAACATGGGTCAATTACAAATCTTTGGAATTGAAAAAGAATTATGATTTAAAATACTTCTTAAGAAACATAATCATCATTGTTTTACTAAAATAGTTTGAATTCAATAAATATTATTAAATATAGAACAAATTTATTCTTCATTATTTATTATAGATACAATTCCACCATCATCTGGTTGGGAAAAAAATGAAAGACAACGTCTTGGTTCTCGTCAAGTTAATTTAAGTACATCAATGAATCCAATACATTTAGCTGAAACAGCTGTTGGACTTAATCTTAAATTAATGAAATGGCGTTTAGCACCTGAACTTGATTTAGAATCATTAGAACAAATGAGTTGTCTACTCTTGGGTGCTGGTACACTTGGTTGTAATGTTGCTCGTTGTCTTATGGTAAAATAGTAAAAAAAAAAAAAACCTTGCCGGATTTCGTGATCGATCTTAAACTAGAATATTGTATATGTTCTTTTACAGAGGAAAAGAGTTAGTTATAATTTATTCTATAAAACTACATATATAGTATCTAGGTTTCAGATAGATCTCTAAATATGGTAAAATTTAATTTTTTACTTTAATATATTAGGGTTGGGGTATTAAAAATATTACATTTATTGATAATAGTCGTATATCATATTCAAATCCCGTTCGACAAACATTATTTACATTTCAAGATTCATGTGAAAATAAACCAAAAGCACAAGCAGCAGCTGATGCTTTAAAAATAATCTATCCAGGGATTGTAAGAAAAAAAAAAGAAAACTAATAAATGATTAAAAATTTTTATCTATTTCATTTTATATTTTGTAAGAAATCAATTGGATATGATTTAACAATACCAATGCCTGGTCATACTGTTAGTGGTAAATAAATAAATATATATAATGTATTGAAATTAAGATCTTGTTTTTTTTCGAAAAACAAAAAGATTCAACTATGGAAAAAGTTAAAGAAGATATAAATTTATTACATGATTTAATACGTCAACATGATGTTATTTTTTTATTAACTGATTCAAGAGAATCACGTTGGTTACCAACAGTTATTGGTGCTGTTGAACAAAAAGTTTGTTTATAATATAAGAAAAAAGAATATTTTTATTTTTATTTTTTATTTCTTTAGATTGTTCTATGTTGTGCAGTTGGTTTTGATTCATATGTAATTATACGTCATGGTATTCCAACAAAAGAATCAAATTCATCATCAACAACATATAAAAATTATTTACCAGGAAATAAACTTGGTTGTTATTTTTGTAACGATATTGTTGCACCCGTTGATGTATGTACATGAAATAAAATGATTTTGTCTTTGTTTGTATGATATTTGTTCGTTTTCTTTTTTTTTAGAGTTCTATTGATCGTACACTTGATCAACAATGTACAGTAACTAGACCAGGTATTTCAATGATGGCTAGTGCATTATCTGTTGAATTACTTGTTTCTATTATACAACATCCTCTTCGGTAAGAATTATTC